AATCCATTTCAGTCTGCTTTAAAATAGATTGCATATTGTACATTGAAATTTTATGTCCTTTATCGTGTTGAGTTCAAGTTCGTACATTCGCTTATAGCCCTAATGTAAGGACTGAAGTTAACTCCCTTTCCATGAAATAATTCGAGTCCATTTGTAGTTTGTGTATAAACTGGTCGATCGAAATTAGTACATGGAGCTGTAGGGAAGTCACCTGCAACTCCATTGAGTCCGTTAAATGACCACTTCTTAATAGATCCACGAATGAGAAACATTGCCATCAAAACAATTCAGCTTGTGAGTAAATCGTGTCACCTCCACTTGTACAAGCTCCACAAAGCCTAAATCAGCCACGAAACTCGGAACTCACTTGAGCCTGCTCTGCTAACTACCCAGCGTTTCAATACGTACATCAATTTTTGATAATTTCACATTTTGGATCGAGGAACCGATGAACACGTAGCAGAGCGTGATAAGCACTGGCTTAAGCAGGCGGGACTATGGAAGTTCGAATTCAAGTGGTGACTCGAGTTTCTTTATTCCTTTTCTTCTTCATTGTTTTTTCTTTTACTGTCAAGAAATCATTTACCGAAAGGTAGCGACTGTCTTTCCCTTTCTTGTGTTTAAAAAATCTTGTGGAGCTTTTGATCATTCGTTTATATCGATTGCTTTCGAACTCACAATGTCACGTAGGTTTGTGAAGGAGAAACCACGAAGACTTTTTCTGCATCAAATCGCTAAGGAAGAACCATATATATTTTCCTTACAATGGAAAAATCGTTTCACCTTCTACCTCTCCAAAATAACTAACTTGACGCGGTGCAAGAGACCGCAAAACGGCCTTACACGGTGGATGTTCGAAACCCGGAGGGACTCCTATCATGAAGAGGTCGGGAATGCTCGTCGTCTCAGGTACAAATCTAGGATTCTGGTCTCACTTAGGGTGTTGATGACGAAAAGTCATCATTTTTAGCTCTAAGAGTATCCTATAAGGTGCACTCGAAGAAATAATGAAAGAAACACTATTATTATTTTTTCTTTTTAGGCTTGTTTTCCGCTCGTCTCTGGTACTACATGAGTCGGGTCTACAAGTGCGCTCGCGATCCTTTCTTGAACAGTGGCTAGTAATCCAGCCTATTGCATTTTAAATCATATCTTTTAGGGGTCTAATTAAGCTTAAGCAATGCAGACATTAGTCTCTTCCGACGAGAATCCCTGACCTTTTCATATGGGAGTTCCCCCTCGGGTTTCCAAATGTCTAACGGGGAGTAAAGCATTGAAGGAGTGAAGGGGTGCAGAGGCAAAAGGGTGAAGGGGTGCTGGGCCGAAGGGGCGAAGGGGCGAAGGGGCTAAGGGGCGAAGGCGCGAAGGGGCGAACGGGCGCAGGGGCGAAGGGGCGAACGCACGAAGGCACCAAGGGGGTAACGGGCGAAGGGGCGAAGGAAGAAAGGGGCGCAGGAGCGAAGGAGTGAAGGAGCGCAGGAGCAAAGGAGCGAAGGACCGAAGAACCGAAGGATCGAAGGGGCGCACGAGCACAGGAGCAGAGAAGCGCAGGAGCGCACGAGCACAGGAGCGTAGGACCGCAGGAGCGCAGGAGCGAAGGAGCGCAGCAGCGCAGGAGTGCAGGAGCGCAGCAGCACAGGAGTGCAGCAGCACAGGAGTGCAGCAGCACAGGAGCGTAGCAGCACAGGAGCGCAAGAGCGCAGAGGCACAGGGGCGCAGGGGCACAGGGGTGCAGGGGTGCAGGAGTCCAGGAGCGCAAGACTGCAGGAGTGAAAGAGCGCAGGAGCAGAGAAGCGCAGGAGCGCAGAAGGGAAGGAGCGCAAAAGCACAGGAGCACAGGAGCACAGGAGCGCTGGAGCGAAGGAGCGCAGGAGCGCAGGAGCGAAGGAGCGCAGAATCGAAGGAGCCAAGGAGTGAAGGAGCGAAGGAGCTAAGAAGCGAAGGAGTGCAGGAGCGCAAGAGCGCAGGAGCGAAGGAGCACAGGAGCAAAGGAGCGCAGGAGCGAAGGAGCGCAGGAGCGAAGGAGCGCAGCAGCGCAGGCGTGCAGCAGCGCAGGGGTGCAGGGGCGCAGAAGCGCAGGAGAAAAGGAGCGCAGGAGCAAAGGAGCGCAGGAGCACAGGAGCGCAGGAGCGCAGGAGCAAAGGAGAGCAGAAGCGAAGGAGCGCAGGAGCAGAGGAGCGCAGGAGCGCAGGAGCAGAGGAGCGCAGGAGCGCAGCAGCAGAGGAGCACAGGAGCGCAGGAGCGAAGGACCAAAGGAGCGAAGGAGCACAGGAGCACTGGAGCGCAGAAGCGCAGGAGCGCAGGAGCGCAGGAGCGCAGGAGTGCAGGAGCGAAGGAACGCAGGAGCATAGGAGCGCAGGAGTGCAGGAGCGCAGGAGCGCAGGAGCAGAGGAGCACAGGAGCACAGGATCGAAGGACCAAAGGAGCGAAGGAGCAAAGGAGCAAAGGAGCGAAGGAGCA